TGTCTGTCCTTCCGTCCGTCCGTCTGTCCGTCTGTCCGTGCACACGATAACTCGAGCAAAAATTGAGATATGTTGCGCTTTATCCAAGGTAGGTTGGGATTGAAAATAGGCGAAATCGGGCAATAAACACGCCCAGCTCCCATATAACGGAATTTTCGAAATATGCAAAAACAAAGATATTTCCGCAAATACTGGATCCAAATTGTTGAAAGTTGGTATTTGAAGTAGAATTTTGCCATAAAATAAGACAGTTATAAAATTTTTGGAAAATGGCCATGGCCCCGCCCACTTATTAAATGCTGTATCTCTGTAGTCCATTTACCAATGCCTACCAAACTCGGTGAGAACATTGCTTAGGGCCTCACTAAGAAACTCGTTGAAACTTTTTGAAATCAGACAAGAACAACGCTCACCTTCCATATAACGGTTATTTACAGAAATACGAAAACTGCAATAAATTAGTAACTATTTAAGCTAATTTACAATATATGCAATGACCTCTTTTTGATTTTTAGGGAAATTTTTTGAAAATGAGCGTGGCATCGCCCATTTACGCCTACATATGTGCATGTCGGCACCCGGTTTATTAATTTCAACCAAACTCGGCACATTTAGCAACCTTGGCGCAAAAAAGCAATATGTTGGAAATTTTTGAAATCGGACTAAAATTATCGCCACTTACCATGTAACAGTAAATTTCAGAAATAGGAAAACTCCGATCTTTCAATAACTAAAGATGCCAACTTGCAACAATCTCTTAACAAGACNACATTTAGCAACCTTGGCGCAAAAAAGCAATATGTTGGAAATTTTTGAAATCGGACTAAAATTATCGCCACTTACCATGTAACAGTAAATTTCAGAAATAGGAAAACTCCGATCTTTCAATAACTAAAGATGTCAACTTGCAACAATCTCTTAACAAGACACAAGATTATTGATTTTTGTTAAATGGGCTTGACACCACCCACTTATGACTACAGAAGTGTATATCGATAACCGCATTACCGATTTCCACCAAATTTGGTCCAATTATTTTAATATATCATAGCATATTATTGCAACTGTTTGACATAGGGAAAAATGCTCTTCTGAGAAAAAAACGATATTTAATACGTGCGCCGGGTATATAAAGTTCGGTTTCGCCCGAACCTATACGTCTTTACTTGTTCATTTGTGGTTTGTAATTTTTCTTATGGAAATCTACTATTGGTAAGCACAGATGCTTGCAATTGCAAAAACCCATATGTATGTACATACAAAAGCGACTTACAGCAATGGCAATTGGAGGATATTGTAGACAACAATTATGTTTTATAACTATGTTTAATATGGGCATATAGAAAAAAGTATAGTCTAAAGCGGGGGTTCCCAAATTTTTATCACCGCGGCACCCTTGTTCTGCTAAAAAATTTCGCGGCACCCCTACTCTTCAAATGTCTACGAAAACAAGAAAACACAATGCAAACTTTATGCTCCTTTAGCTTTAATGTGAGGACTGAAATTGTTTTGATGATTCCTTTAAGTTTATTGGGAGTTTTGAAAATTTTACCCTGAAATCATTTGACGCTTAAAGCTTGCTGGTGTATTTGTTTTTAACCGACTTCCCAAAAAGGAGAAGGTTATCAATTCGTCGGAATATTTTTTTATTATTATTTTTTTTAAGTATGCCACCGCATAACTTTGGACCACGTTAGCCGATTACTATAATTATTTTTTAAAGTAAAGGAAAGGTTACCTCACAAGTGGTCCCATTCTAATTTGGTTTAATTGCGATCATTGGATCGTGAAAAGATTAACGATAATCTAAAATTTTTATATGGGAATTGAGGTCGGTTTTGTTTTTTGCTTAAAAATTACTTGCTTATGTATGCAGTCTCACATAGAAATGTAAAAGTAAAAGTCACTAGTATTTTGAATGCAATCTTGCCAACGGCAGTGTTTTATGCATAAACTTGCATCCAGAACTCTCTTGGCTCCCTTCGTAGTATTTAATATTCAGTACGCTGTCTTCACTGATGTCCAGAAGGTTTCCAAAAGCTTAATTTGTCATCTGAGTAGGTTTGCTTTTGGGGTCGCATGAAAACGGGTTTGTTATGCAGCTGTCGATATCCTCAAGGTCACTGTTGGGAAAATATTCGACAATGGTTTTTTCTAAACCTTCCAAGTTAACGCTGGTAATGCGCGTTAGCTAAGAAAATAACTTTTACAACCAATTTCACGAAAGCAATTCAAGTGAAAAATGATTTTAATTTTTTTAATTTTAATTGGAAATTGACAGAAAATAGAAAATCATTTTCCATTTACCGGGCCGTTACACATTAAATTTTCCCCTTTCAATTTTCAATACTCTCACACTTTTTCACTAACACACTCTTATTTATTGCTTGAATGGGCAACTTGCTTTAAATTTTTCCCTTTCAACTGAGTTTCAATTTTGATCAGCTTTTCAGCATTGGCATGCGAATTTTGTGAAAATAAAAAAATACTAAGCTTATGCATGTTAAAATGTTAATCTACAATGGAATTAAAATGGAAAATGTTCTTCAGAAGCTACATTGTTTTCTTGAAGGCGATATGTTGATAATGAAATTGTTTCTCAGATGAATGCAGCCTACGTAATGGCTTTCAATTTCGATGATTTTTGACAAGCAATATGTGTGAGGAAATTGAAAGGCAACACTGATTATGTGTCGTCAGCGTTAAATTGTAACATATACACGAGCGCGAAGCTGCTGCGCTTGTTACGAGAATAGCCCAGCCAGCAAAAAATTCAAAAATTAATCCGAAAACTGGAAGAAAAGTGGATGAAACGCGGATTAGGTCTACAAAAGTATCGAAAATGGTTGTGAAAAGGGTACGTTTTCGGCTACTTTCTTAAAATTTTCTGATTAAATTTTTCGTTAACAAAACGAACTAGGGAACTACGCTTAAGAGCGAAATACACCACACAAGCGGCTTGACAAACCAAGCGAAATATCCCCTTGTTGCAAGCCATTTGTGTTGTGTATGGGGTTTGACAAGCCGCTGAAGGTAATTAAAAAAAAACTCAAAATTTTTTGATTTTCTGGCCGCCATATTGAAGTTTAATCAAACCGCCTGCGTTGTGTATGGAAAGTTTAAAGAATTTGCCCGCGCCACTAGTTTACTCTAGCCACTAGTGGCACCGCAAGGTGCCGCGGCACCCACTTTGAGGAAGCCTGTTTTAAGGAGAACTACATATTTTCATTTCGACTATTAGAAAAAGTGCATACAATACCATATACAATACAATATGAAACGAAACATTTATTTCATACTGCTCAACAACTAGGCTAGTCCTAAGAATGATATGGTCCTTTCGAGTGATTAAATATTATTCTATCTTTCAAGATCGGCAACACGAAAAATTAAAAATAAAATCGCCGTGGCCATATCTAGTAAAATTTTTTCAGAGATGTTATTGGTTGTAATATTTTTACGGGCTTTTATAAAATAATTTGGCGAAAAAATTAATATTTTCGACACACTGTAAATTTAAAAAAAAATTAAATAAAAATAAATGTCCATTAATGCCCTACCAATGTTGTTAGTTAAAAAAATATGGGTTTGATTATCGTTCAGCAGGGATAATAATACAAATCAGTAAAATTCAGCATTAAAATGACAGCAGGAAAAATTTCTGTAATAAGCTTGCTTGCTGGTATTGAAAGTACTCTTAGGCTTTCTGCTCATTGGTCGTCCAATCATAGTTGCTTCATCGTCAAAATCATAATGCTACGATTACATGACGATAACACTTTCGCACACTCGGACGTGATAATTCAATTCATTTGGCGGCATAAATCTAGAATATCAACCGTTTAGCTATGGAAAAAGCAAAAATGCAGATCGACAGTACTATCTACGCTGATTTGAACCATACCAAAATTAAGTAAAGAAGATATAATAGATTAAAGTAAAATTTATTCGATATTTAAGAAATATCAATATCTTATGATCTCCAATTGAAAAAGTAATGATGTTAAAATAAATATAATTAATTCATCTTTCAGCTGATGTACAAAGTTTATATGCTTTTTTCATTTTTAAGCCAAAAATACTAAATATAAATTTTTATATAAAATAATCTGTTTTGGAAAAAATGCATAACTAATGCTAAAGAAATTTATATTATTTAGAAGATACAAGTCGTTATCTTTAATTCGATGTACATATTTTATTATGACCTGCTTTTAAGTTTTAGGAATTTACAGCCGGTTTCACCAGCAATTTAAATGGAAAATGATTTTTTATTTCCTTTCATATAAAATAAAAAAAATTTAAATAGTTTTTCCCTCAAATTGCTTTCGTGAAATTGGCCGTTAGGGATAATAAAAAATATAAATGCGAAATTGTATATATATTTTTTCAAAATGGCGTTCATTTAAAATTTTGTTTTAAAAATGGTTAAAGTATATACGTTATTTAAAAGGTATTTAAATTATCTTTTAATTGGCATCCGTTTCTGCATCTTCTACGATTTGCGATAACAAGCCCATAACGAGAAGTGTGCAGACCTCCATTGAAATGCATGTGGTCGGCTCAAAGTTTTAGGGCGAGACGATAACGCAACTATGATTGGACGACAAGTATACAGATAGCCTTATTCATACAAGTCTCAAAAACAATTTCAGAGAATACAAAGAAAATTTAGGACAATTTTAAAATGACTTTTTCTGCGCTAGTATTGCTTCTCATCCCATCGTGCGGTCGCCTCTGAACATGCCTTGATAAAGCTTCTTATATACACAAGCCGCACGCTACAAATTGGTGGAGTAGCTCGGCCAAACACTTAGTGTAAGCGCCAAACTTTTAGTTATTTTTCGTAAACCTATTAACATCATCTGCCAGATGGATTTACGACTTAAACTTCTTATTTGCATGTACTTAACCTTTAATTTTATTTACATAGAAAACGCATCTAAGAAATTTAAAAATTCCAAATTTTAAAAACAGAGCTTTAAATATTTTATTCTCTTTTTGCTAATTTTGAACAGATAACTTCCCTGCTGCGACCGCGCGGCCATTTGAAGCCGATTGAAAATAAAGAGTCGAAACCATCGGGAACAGCAACTGATGAAACAACTGAGGCTACTAATTGTGCTGTAACGCCTGCAGACACATCTCTGCAATTTGAGTCACCAAAGCCACCGACGAAGAACGTAGAACTAATACCAACATTAGACTTCGTGATACATGAACCTATCACTACAGAACTTGAAGTGCAACATGTTACCGATATATTGTCGCAACTTGAAATTGATGCGTACAGTGTAAATGCCGCAAACCTTATTGAAAACGATGATGACGACGAATGCGATAATCACTCCGGCCACACGTATGTAATTGAACGTGGATGCAGTACAGACATCTATAGCAGCAGTAGCACAAATACTGAGGACCTACTGCGCCAGGAGATCATTCACTGCGTCAACACAGATACTACGGCAGAATCTTCACTGATCTACGAGCCAACTAGCTCGATATCCATAGAAATGGACAATTTAGAAAAGAGTACAACAACAGCCACGGCGACAACAACGATGACTACACCGTCGTCGACCGATGAAGTGCCTGAGACGACAACCACTACATCTCGTAAGAACAGTAATCCAAGTGCCATCACTTCAGTAACAACGGCTAGTGACGATCAAAGTATAGAAGAAGAAATTGAAGAGGCCATTGAAATAAGTGAAGAGGGCACGCCAGAATTGTCGGCTGCACGTCCATCGGAGCTAACTGAAGCAGCAGGCTATATAAAGACAATTGTAAGAAAAGAGGAAAAAACAAAATCCCTCCAGCCCTTCGGTACAGAAATGTCTAAAGAAGTCAGTTCGGTGCAGTTACTAAGGAATTCGCCCAGAGAAAGTGAGCACAAAAAGAATTCTGGCGAAGAAGACGAGCAATTCAAGATTGATGAAGATCAATTGTCTGGTGGGAAATTAGCTCAGCACTTTGTGTTGGAAGGAGAGGAAGATGATGACGATGTTGATGTAAGCGCTCCGCTAACCAAGACTGGAGCACACTCGCGCCATGAAATATCTAATGGTGGTAGCGTTCAGGTCAGCGAGCCTATGACAGATTCAGCAGAAGTGGATTTTGGAGACCTCGATGTGAGTTTGCCGTTGGAAAAGAGAGTACACTCACGGCACGATGAACCTCTGATAGAAAACCTTGCTGCCAAAACACAAGAGGGAAATTTAAGCAACGAGAGCACTGCAAATGATGTTTCCGATCTGGCTGAAGAACTGAGACAGGAAGAGGACTCTCTGAAGAGTGAAGACCTACTTGCACCAGCGACAGAGTTAACGCAACAATCCAGTGATTATGAGGAAAATGTGACAAATACGTCGTTGAGTAAATCCAAAGAAGGGAAAGTAAGCGACACTGCGGAAAAAGTTGAAGTTGATGACCGAGCACTAAGTCCTTCACCTGATCACGACGAAAAAGATCACTCTATTGAGGAAATTGTTGAGAGAAATCATAGCTCTGAATATACATTGGATGATCGAGACTTGAGTTCTCTGAACCACAGCTTTCTTGTGAATAATGAGTCGTTAGTGAATCGTCTTCTGGGAGACACCATAGAAGAACAAGTTTCACATAATGAGAAGGTAATCAATTCAAGTGCCAATTTTAAAAAGATGAATGACATTAAGGAACGCCCAAAATGTTTCAAAATAGACATACCTGATACTTTGCGGATTCTTACCGATTTAAATGCGAATGGACCAGAGGCCAAGCCACATAAGGGGTGCGCTGTAACAATAGAAGAGGCTAACCAACAGAAAAGTGATATAGCAGCAGGCAAAAATGACAACTTAGTAGAGACTGAAAACTCGAATAAAAAATTGATGCGTTCGTATCGCGAAAGGGAAAACATCGAAAATGTGCCATTACAGGGATCACAGTTGGTAGAAACAAAACTTGCAGTAATCTCAGAAACACTACAACTACAGGGAATGGCCGATGTTGAAGTGGATGCCTTAGAAGCCGTCGTTGAGCATGTGGAAGACAATGAAACATCTGCAATTGCCTTGCGCGATGCCCTCAAAGAATTACTTGGTGGTAAAAATCAGGTTACCAGTGTTTCACCGGAGCTTGACGTCCAAGCAATTGAAGAAGATGACGATGACATGCGGTTGAAACATATGAAGTTGCGGATTTTAGCCATGAATTATGACAGTAAGGATCAGCAAATCAATCTCAATGAATTAGCTCCAGTAAACGCGGGAGTTAGTGGGGCAGTGCAGATCATTAAACCAATGGAGCGTGTGCCCCTAAATGAGTTCGCAAAAGACATACTCGAAGATATTACTGAAGAGAGCGAACGAAACTCGCTTTCGACGACTGAAGAACATCGTTCGTTGTCGATGGAACGTTCGATGACAACGTCAGCTGAAAAAGATGAAAATAAAACTTTGCGTGCCGAAGTGGAGGTACAAACGGCAAACTTGGCAACTACTTCGAGTAGTATAGTCAGTTTGAATATNCTGTCGATGGAACGTTCGATGACAACGTCAGCTGAAAAAGATGAAAATAAAACTTTGCGTGCCGAAGTGGAGGTGCAAACGGCAAACTTGGCAACTACTTCGAGTAGTATAGTCAGTTTGAATATGCTGCAAATGTTGGAAAGCAAAGTATCCGAGTTGAAGTATGTGGTAGCTGAAAAGGATGCCTGTCTGACGGCGTTAAATTTGCAATTAGAGACAGCGCAGAGACGCGAATCGAGTGGCGCATATTCTGTGGAGCAGTTGGGCTCAGGTAGAGACACAAACAGTTCGTTGGTGACTAGCTCGACAGAGTATCGCACGCTCCAGGAAGAATTTGGTGGACCGGTAAGTAGTAACTAAAAAGTAAAGAATTAAAATTTCAAGCTCATCAATAACACAATAAACACTTCTTTGTAGACCATGGATATATGGACGGAATTAAACTACCGCGATGAATTAATAGCAAAACTGACAGATTCTCTACAGCATTCGAAGAATGTTCGCGAGCAGCTGCAAACAGATAGTGATAAACTTACCAATGAGGTTGAAATACTTCGCAAACAACTGTCAGAAGCACTGGACACACTTCGGCGACCTACCTTGCCTCGTGGCGATCTGGATAGCAATTGTGGCCAGCGAATTTCTGAGATATCAATGGATTTAATAAGCGACAGCGATGATGATTTGGAGCGTAATGCCTTCACTGACAACGAGGATAAGTATTCACGCAATTCACGCGAGCGTCAACTCTCAGTACCACGCCAGACGGCGGAAATGTATGGTGATATGGAAGCGTCCGAGTGGTCACAAACGCAATTTAGCAAGCAAATTGAACAGTTTCAGAAATATCTCAACTCCAATGAGGTACGTCTATTCTTTATGGTACAAAATAAATTCGATAATTATTTAAGCCAAGAACTGGAAAAGTGCAAAATGAAGTGTGAGCAAGAGCAAAAGGAGATGGTTGAGCAGCTTGAAGCGGTGAAACAGCGACAAGATGTTGAATTGCAGAAGTTAATAACGTCGCGTGAGGAACAGGACTCGAAACATGCCAAAGAAGTAGAAGAGTTGCGTAAATATTTTGAGTCGAAATGTGCGGAATTGGAGAAACAGTAAGTTTTTAGCTTATAAATACTGAATTTCATGTGCTGTGATACTAGCAATATGACTTTTGCAGATTTTCAGATGACGTGTTTTCACAAAAATCGCAACATCATACCGGAGACACATCTTCATCTGAAGGCTCAGATCAGGAGCAAATGCCCGAGGAAGTAGTTCTACCATCTACTTCCACTCAACGTTCAAAGGAGGCTTCACCGCGGAAAAAAAAGCGCGCAGAACTCTTGCTAAGTCCTAGCCACCGTCAGATTATACCTGCCGATACCTCCAATGAAGATGTGAATTTACAATCTTTAAAATATGAGTCGCGATTGCATTCTAACTTTAATTTTTTTAATTAAAAATAGAGTTCCGTGGAAATCACAGAGCTGAAGGCTTTCTATCAACAAAAGCTTCAGGAATTACAGCGCACTCATGACGACCAACTGCGTAAAGTAACCGACAAATTGAAGTATTACGAGAGTCGCTATCCGGATGATGAATTTATGGTAAGTATTTTTTGCTTCGCATAAAATCCATTTTCTGTTCGGAGGCGGTGTAAAACTGTAGGTCCCTCCGTTTGTGTAACAACATCAATGCCGAGGAGAAGCTCGGCGAAACACGTAACAAAAGAGTAAGCACCAAAACTTTATTATTGTTTACCAAAAACTAGTAAATATCCGGCGAGCTTTGCGGTGCCTCAAAAGCACCATATGAATTTACTAATCCCTTTCAGTGTCATGAGTTCACTCGTATACAAACCACTTTGTTTGCACACTTTTACAAGGGTATTATTTCCACCTGTGAGATCTATCTAAGTCGTTGTATAAATGGTTTTCCTATCGAGCATAATCTTCCTTTGCTTCCAGGCACTGGCAGATTCGTCGGAAGTGTACTGTTTTAAAGGCTGCCTGACTGAATGAAAATAAAAACGTATTTCCTTACGGTAGGCATTAGAGCGAGATTCTATAATAAGACCACAACCCACCACAAGCTGATTTTTGTAAATATTCACAATGTTCTTCAAGTAAAATTTTGTTTGCTAATATTTTCATATGTATAAACTGAACAACGGCTGACAAATTTTTTTGTTTTTAATTTTATACATCTGATGCTGGTTTTTCAAGCAATGTTATAGGCTAAAAAACTTCGATGTAGAAATGGAGCGTAGTACCTCCCGAATAGGGTTGCCAGACGTACTGATTTCATCAGGATAGTACTGATTTTTCTACTCAAGTTCGGATATTTCCCATTCCGTAAATCAGTGCGCTCTTCTTCTTATTTGGCGCTGTAACGGCTTAAGCGATTTTGGCCGAGTTCAACAAAGCACTCCAGTCATTTCTCTTCTGTGCTCCACCTGGTCTTTCCAACGCAGAGGAAGCCTTCCTCTTCCTCTGTTACCAGCATCGCGGCCCGCGTTGAATATTTTCAGAGCAGGAGCGTTTCTGTCCATTCGAACGACATGGCCAAGCCAGCGGAGCCGTTGAATTTTAATTCGCTGCACTATGTCATATCGTTGTAAAGCTCATACAGCTCATCGTTAAATCGCCTGCGATATTCGCCATCACCAACGCGTAAAGATTCGTAAATCTTTCGCAGAATCTTTCTCTCGAAAACTCCAAGAGCCGCCTCATCAGATGCTTTCATTGTCCATGCCTCCGCGCCATACACCAGCACAGGCATGATGAGTGACTTATAGAGTGTGATCGTTGTACGACGAGAGAAAACTGTACTTCTCAATTGCCTACTCAGCCCAAAGTAGCAAGAGTGGATTTCAAGGCTGACATTTTTACTGGTGTTAATACTGGTTCCCAAATAAACGAAGTCGTCTACTTTTTCAAACTTGCAACTGTCAACAGTGACGTCGGTGCCAAGACGCGTATGCTCTGACTGTTTGTGTGATGACAGGAGATACTTCGTTTTGTCCTCTATCCAACCCCGAGAAGGCAGAATAGACGTAGTCCTTGTTTTTACCGATAATCTCGATGTCGTCGGCATACGCCAGCACTTCTACGCTCTTGTAATGTCCTGTGCCTGAGCGATTCAGTTCTGCGGCTATTATTATCTTCTCCAACATCAGATTAGAGAAATCACATGAAAGGGAGTCCCCTTGTGTGAAACCTCGTTTGGTATCAAACGGCTCGGAGAGGTCCTTCCCTATTCTGACGGAGCTGGTNCTGACGAAAGCGGCTTTGAAATCGACAAATTGATGGTGTGTGTCGATCCTATTCTCACGGGTCTTTTCCAAGATTTGGCGTATTGTGAATAATTGATCTATGGTGGATTTGCCAGGCCTAAAGCCAGTCTGATAACTAGGGAAGACAAAAATATGCAAATGCATATTGCATATGCAAATGCATATTATGACACAAAATGCATATATTGGCGAAAAAGCATAAAAATGCATAAAATTGTTTTTTTTTTTTGGTAATAAGTTACCTAATTTTCGCATAATTTCATCTGACAATACCTTTGCGAAGATAGCCAATGTTGGTGACGAGGTTTGTTTAATTGACAAAAAGAAGGCTGACAAACAATGAGAAGTCCCGTTGTTTTCTAGTAAACAATTTTAATATACTCGTAAAAAATTTTCGACTGTCGTTTTCCGATAGTCAAGTTTAGCGCTAAACCGGTTTTGGTGGTTGAAAAATTCAATAAAAACTTTTAGATTTTAGCGAAAGCTGTTTAACAGTTTCCAGGTGTGTTGCGAACTGCGCAGCGAGTTTTATTCTGCATCTATTGTAACTTTTGTAACTTCTCAATATCAGCAACAAAAATATTTTGTATGAGGCAACACTTCAATAAAATGTTGCAACATTTTCACCTGGAGAATTGTCATCTTTTAAATTCTGTCCAACAAAGTCTTGTGACGTAGAACGTGCATTTGCAATATTTTCAATACATACATATGTGTATGTTAAAAACTTTTCATGCGATAATCGAAAAAAATTTCGTTATACATATACATTTTTGGGGCATATATTAAGCATATTTTTAAAATTTTGGAGTCACTTTAATGATCATAATATGATTATATTATAATTAAGTTTTTTGTGCATATTTTTGTCTTCCCTACTGATAACGGTGCAATCAGTTCGTTGACGGTGGGCTTCAGTCTTTCGCACAATACACTCGAGAAGACTTTATAACCTATGCTTAGAAGGCTGTTTCCGCCGTAGTTGGCGCGAATGGCGAGGTCGCCTTTCTTGTGGATTGGGCAGAGCACACTTAAATTCCAGTCGTCGGGCATGCGTTCATCTGACCATATTCTACATATGAGCTGATGCATGCACCTCATCAGCTCCTCGCCGCCGCACTTGAATAGCTCGGCTGGCAGGCCGTCAGCTCCAGCAGCTTTGTTGTTTTTCAGCCGCGTAATCGCAATCGTCATAGTCAGGCTGAGCTCCACAATTTAAGTACATTCTGGGCGTCGGTCACTAGGTCGCCATTGTTGTTCTTGCAAGAGTTCGCGCCGGTCTTGAAAACTTTCGTAAGTCGCCTAATCCTCTGGTAGAATTTTTCGTGCGTTCTTCCTGTCGGGCAGCATCTCAAGCTCTTCACATTCACGTATTTCGGCCTCTCTCTTCTTATTGCGGAAAATACGTCTCCCTTCCTTCCTCAGTTCCCTATAACGGTCCCACATGGCTCGCGTTGCGCCTGATCGCAGCGTGGCCCTACAGGTGGCGTCTTTCCAACTACTTCTTCGGCGGTGGTACTTTATGATCTGGAAATGTGGTTCCACTGCTCGCATATGTCGTTTGGTTGACGAGTGCTCTCTGAGTCGAGTAGCGAATGCATTATCTGTCTGTTTTGATTGCAGCTTTTCGACGTTGAGTTTTCCTTGCATTTTTGGGCGCAACAAGATAGTGGTCCGAGTCGATGTTTGGGCCTCGGAGTGTCTACGTACATACATCTAAAACACTGTAAGCGTGCCTTCCGTTTATCACAACATGATCGATTTGGTTTCTTGTTTTTCAATCCGGAGATGGCCTCGTAGCTTAATGGATGTTTTTATGATTGAACCTAGTACTGCATGCTACCATGTTTCGGGCCCCGGCGAAGTCGATAAACCTCAGTCCGTTGTTGGACTTTTCGTCGTGGGGGCTGAAATTTTCGACAGTGGTTCCAAAGATCCCTTCCTTTCCCCACCCTGGTATTGAAATTGCCATGCACGATTTCGATGTCGTGTCGGGGCAGCGCTCGTATGTACGCTCCAAGCGCTCATGGAAGAGATCCTTGGACGCGTCGTCCTTCTCTTCCGTTGGGGCATGGCCGCAGATGAGCGGCATGTTGAAGAATCTCGCTTTGATGAGGATTGTGGCTAGACGTTCGTCCACCGGGGTGAGCGCCAATTCTGGGCGACGGAGTCTCTCTGCTACCACGAATCCAACACCGAATTTGCGCTC